AATACATATATTCGTTGAGATATTTAGAAATTTAAATTTAAAATGTATAATTGACTATCATTCTATAAATATGTTTAATATTTGTGTAATGTTTCTATAAATGTTATCATTCATATAATCAAGATATAAATTATTCTCTATTAATACTTTTTTTCATTTTGTAAATTATTTGTGTAATCTGCTAAAAAAAAAAATAAATCATTCCGTTGTACATTTTTGTGCACGATGAAAATGTTTTATATACATGTGTATATATAAATGTGTGTGTGTGTGTGTGTGTGTGTGTGCGCGCGCGCGTATATATACACACACACATTTATAAGATTTACATTTCACATAAATACAATGTCATATTTATACTATTAGACTGTCAAAACTGCATTTTTTGTAAAGATTAATGACGTTATGATCTCTCTGCCAATATTTATTACATGTATATACATATTATATATATTCTTATATACATACATACACACACACACACACACACATATATATATACACTCGTGTATACATGTATTCTTTTTAGTGATGTTACACGCGATAAATACTATATTTGTAACAAATAGATTCTACATATATATTTGCATTTTATTAATATATACAATAAAATTTTATTCTTAAAAAAATATATATATGTATATTAGCCAAGAATATATGTTTCTTTATATTTCTTTAACAAAACCTTTGTATTTCAAAATAAAAAAGATTTGGAACGGTTTTGCAGATGTGCATTTGTATACAAAAGAAAATGCGAAGAATATTAATAGCGTTTTCTCTTGCACTAGTACAACACTGAGATCCGTATTCATAGTCAGACCTTATACTTAAGGCTTCCTTAAATTTATCTTTAGATGCTCAGCCAATAAAATAATTCGTAGAGTATCTGAAGATAAACTTAAGGAGTCTTAAATATGGGTATCAGACAGTGTAGCGTGTTTCCACGGCTGGTGGGACTTATTCGATGTATTGTGCTTCCGTAGCTAGAGTATAGCAAGTTTTATTCATGAAGTAGGATTTGTTATATTATCTCAAAAGGATGGTGTAAAGCCAATGTGACGTTAAAAATTTGGAAATAGAAATTAACTGAGAGTAGGATCTTAGCGCAATAATGAAGTAGTGTATGTACACTATAGTGCGCACCCAGGAAGTAAGATATAAGGAGACTCCACTCCGTAAAATAAAAGTGGACCCATTTTAGGTTTCGAGTTCAATTTCCGATTCTGATGAGTGCGAGTAAGAGAAATGATCATTTCTCTTACTCGCACTCATTATGCGCAGCACTACTAAATTCACGAGCGCTGCGAGTGTCGAGAATCGGAAACTGAATTCAAAATCTAAAATGGGTCCATGTTTTGTAAACTGGCGAGACTGAATGGAGTCTCCTTATATCTTCCTTCATGTGCACACCACTCCAGTGTAGTGTAGCGCTCACACGCAACTGGTAAAGTGCAAGGCTATAATCCAGTGCATCCCAAGGAAAAACGCTATAAGTAGAATAACATAACACAAATGTGTTCTTAACAAGGTAAGTAAGATAGATACAACGATTTTCTTATTTTATAAATAAATTGTAGTTTTATAAAAAATTTTTACTTTAATTTAGTAATAATTTTTCCGTTATATATATTATATACATACATATATATATATATATATA